CCTCTAGTAATATATTTACTGAGAACAACGGTGAAGTGTTCAATACTTATTTTACCCGCTGTATATATATGTGATATATTACAATATAGAATATCATCACAATATGTATCGCAATATACTGCGATACTGTAAGCAAGGCAATACATTGCCATTGTTTTCTCCAAAAGATTCTCATTTAAAAATGCTCAGTATAAAAGGGTAACATCAAATCTGATCCAAAACCTAATAAAAAGTTGATAGAATKCTTTTGAGAATCAATACAGTATCAGGAAATTACATATTGTGATAGATCAGTGTATCGRTATTTTTCTTACACACTTATTTGATAATAAAAAAATAAAATGGCTTGTGATTTTTTTGCAGTTATACCGATATTTATTTTTTACTGAGTACAAGAGAAATACTTTTTATTCTGCATAAATATAACAAGCAAAGCCCATATTTCTTTAGATTTTTTTTTTTACAAACAGCCCAGTAATTTTGCAAATCCAGAGTAGCATGCAGTCCAGAAACATGTTGCCAATATACACAATACTCAAACTCTTGATAGTTCATCCAACTGATTTGTTCTGTTCCAGGACTGTCCCAACAGACAGGAACTCCAAGGTTCTCTGAAGCAGGTCCAGAAGCTTTTATCAGCCCATGAAGCCACATGCCTGCAGAGTCTACGCAGCCTGAAGAAGAAAATTAATCTGCTGCAGAGCAGTGCGGGGAAGCAGACAACAAAAACCATAAACAGTAAGCCGAAACACTCGAAATAACTGGTTGTTTCARATGTTTGTTTTAACGTCTACGTTCCATCCAGGTACCTGCCCAAAACTGGACGCTCCCATCAATGGGAGAAAACTGGGCAAATCCAACAGCGTGGGCCACGAGCTCCACTTCCTGTGCGACCCTGGTTATGAGCTTGTGGGCTCAGAGAGCAGAGTTTGTCAGGAAAGCCTGACCTGGAGCAGCCAGCAGCCCACATGCAGAGGTGAGACACCAAACCTCACCACGCTGGTGCTCAGTTTTTTTTTAATGTCGTCCTCTTCCCGTCACTGTCTCACCACTCATCCTGTCATCTACTGATCACTCATGTCAACATTCTCTTTTTCATCTTTTTCTATTTGCCWTAACTCTTTTTATATAATTTCCTAYGTAGATTTCAAAGCTCTTTTGGACATGTAATATTCCATTCCAGCCTTTATGTCCCAAAGACAGCTTTGATATAAAAAAAGACAATCAAGACATGTTTTTTTAAACTGACTTCACCTACACTGCTTTGTTATTCCTTAATACTGTATTTTGATCACATCCTATAATGTCCTGCTCTTAGTGGTTCAAGCATCCAAATTACTGAGTTACACAGTGTCTGAAAAGAGTTTCAGAGTAATAGCATAATCTGTTTGTCTCCTTCAGACATCAATGAGTGTTCTTCATCTCCCTGCATGAATGGAGGGACCTGTGTGGACGAGGTGAACCAGTTTTCTTGTGTCTGTGCCAAAGGTTGGGCTGGAGCGACCTGTCAAAGCCCTGTTCCCACCTGTGAGTAACACAATCACTTATTTTACCATCTCACCTGCACATCTTACAGCTGTATAAAGAAAAAAAAAGACTCCTAAGACACCTTTGATCTTAAGAAACGCCAAATAATTTTTAGTAATTGCAGCATGGATACACATCACATGATGTATTTTCAAAGAGAAACAAAAAAGTCAGCTTTTGCTTCTAATTCAAATTAAAAGCTAGGAATCAGATGAAGAGTATCTTTTGAGTGACTCAAACACAGCGATTGTCAGATTAAACTCAGATCTTTCCTAATCAAATCAGGCAGAGTGTGGTGAAGTCAGAGCTGGGAGTTCCAGGCAGAGGGAGAAAGCAGATAAATATGCAAAGTTTGATTAAGTCTTTGCCTGSTTGTTATATCAGGATATTCTTCTGGGTCAGTTTGATCAAATATTGATGACRTTGTTGAAAGTTTGTACACATATTTTTAGACAGACACAGATTTTTCACCTGCAGTAATGTACCAAGAGCTTATTTACCTGGCTGCTGCAGTGTGGTGAAAAAGACATTTAAATTCAAACTCACGTGTGAGTTCTATTAATTATTGAGCTTCCTTCAAATGACCTGATGCTTTTAATTAAGCTGCAATAGATTTGTAGATTYAAACAATTAGTCTGGACAGTTCAGTCAATTGAGTGAACAAAACTGAAACGTGGGGTTTACATGAACTGCCGTTTCAATCCAATTTAAATAGATCTGAAAGTTTAAACAGCCACCTTAAAGAGTTTAATCAATTATTAACCAAATCAACAAAATAACACTGATTAAACAAGGGATTTTGTGGTTAAGATAACATATGGATTTTCTTTCTATTTAACTAGATTTTTAAAGCAGCGCTTTCATTCTTTGTGTTAAAACATGTTAGACTTTACATTGTCCTTATCCTTCATTATATTTTTTAGCATTTAAGCTTATAAATGCATGTTCTCTAAAACAATCACAAATCAAGATAGCTAAAATGTTTCAAACTACAAAAAACTTTGAGCTCATAAAGCTTTCAAAAATAACAAAAAAAACCCATTAAATGACAGTTCTTGTCCATTTAAAGCATGTGGTTATTTTTTTGAGTTTTTAATGTTAAAATATTTACACACTGGATTTAATATCATATAAAAAAGGCRAAACATCATGTTTCTGTTATTGACTCGAACCCGTCCTCCCCTCTCCAGTTGAACGTGACGTTAGCAGCTGTGACTGACACGGTCACAAATCTTCATCATCAGCTGTCTGTCACATAACGTCAGCTGAATAAACAAGCACTACAGGTGTTTTCTTGACGCAGAGCTGCAGTGCTAAAAATATCACTACAAAAAACGTCCACAGCTGAAAACCAGTTCTCTTCTCTGCTCTCTTCAGTTTTTATCACCACCACAAACACTTCCGCTGCCTCTGCTGCTACCACCTTAACAGCTGCCACCGGTGGGCCTCACGTTCGTCCATCAAGCTGCTCCACCGTGCAGGGGACCACCCACTGCACCTGTGAGCCCGGATTCACCATCTCTGCCAGAGACAGCTACACCTGCATGGGTACKCCTCTAAATGTCTACTTAATCAGGGCCTACAACCTGATTATAGCTGCTTCAATGTTTCTGTTTGGGATGATTAATTTACTGTGCTCTGCAGATGTAGATGAATGTGAGCTCTTCCATAATGGACCAGCAGGGAGGTTGTGTTTACATAAGTGCGTTAACACTCCTGGAGGCTATCGCTGCTCCTGTCCTGCTGGTTACGACTTGACAACTGATGGGCGCAGCTGTAAAGGTGGATTTATTTTTATTTTTTTTATGTTGTCTGTTCTTAGCTTTCCCTCAAACTGTTCAAAGRCAAAACTTAAACTGTCTAAACACAAGATATAAATAACCAAAATGAGAGACAAAATATGGCCCAAAGAGGGAAGAGTTCAAATAAATGTGCATAAAATGCGTCTAAAATGCCAAATGTGTTGAACAAAATGACCCCCACATTAATCAAAATATATGAAAAACTATCCAAAAACAAAGGGATAATATAAAAAAACAAGCTGATGTTTAAGATAATCAATAACAAAAGCAAAATTGTAGTGCATCTGTCAGGTTTGTAGCAGGTTTGACCCAGAAATCAGGCACAAAATCTCGAGAGAGCTCTGATGTCACAAAGAAAACTGATTTATTCAAAAAAAAAAAAAGTAAAGATCTGCCAAGGCAGCACAAAAGGAGACGCTCTGAAAACACACAGGGAGACTTACCACACAGAAACAAACCAAACGGGCCATGAGAAGCACAACGAAACCACATCAGAGGGSCAGACAAGACGCAGAATATAAAAGGAAGCTAATGAACGGAAATGACAAACACCWGAAGGAGACAAGCAGGAGTGGGAGGAGCTGGAGGAGGAGAAACACTGCAACTGAACACAGGAGGTACAACTTGGAACACAGGAGAGAAAAAGTAAAGCACAAAAGACATGCATTTAAAACACAAAGAAATAAACTCAAAACCTTACAGCATCCCRAAGTTGCTTCTCTTTGTGATCGTTGCATCGTTGTAAAATACAAAACAACAATACATGATGTCAGCATGTGTTTTTATCTATAGCTAAAACACATGCTGACATAAAGTTGCGTTTTTTTTCCAACTTTTTTTCAGTTTTCAGTTCTTTACTTCAAAGAGAAGACAAAGGGAGATTCATATCTGTCAAAGGATTCCCTTTGATCATTTCTGGAAAATGTTACAGTGTCCCTGATTACAAAATAAAACTGCCAAATCAATATTTAAAATGAAAGAAGAAACTATTAAAGGGGGCTTAGAGGGGTATTATGTGTTTTAYAGGCACAATTCTATACCACAATCAAGTAACTATGTTACATTTGATTGAACATGTTGTAAACATCAAAAATAAATTAGACTTTGCATCATAGTCTAAACACCGTGGAGTTGGCCTCTGTCTCTGGGAACCTCCTACCACTTTAGACATTCCCACTTCAGCMCATCTTCACGGGGTGCTCTGTGRGGCGGGAGCTCGGCTGCAGACTGAGCTCCAGGGAGGAGCTTTGTACAAATAAACRTTTAGGCAGCTCCAAATGGCTACCACAGGAAATTCAAGGATTTCTCAAACATGCATGAATGAGTAAAGCCTAAAAAAGTCAGTTCTGCATAATAGCCCTGTCTTTAATTTTGAAATCCTGACTCCTTTAATAGAAGAGAAAAAAAAAAAACGTTTTCTTTAATATAAAAACAGTGGGAAATTTCTGTTCATAAATGTGCTTTTCTCTTTTTATGGATTAAAAACCATTTTAGAATTTTTGTTTTTTTACTAAATTACTGTCTTAATCTTTTCTGCCAGATATTGATGAGTGTGCCAACAGACAAAACAACTGCACAAGGGACCAGATGTGTGTTAACACTTACGGTGGTTTCCAGTGTGTTCATGTTGACTGCCCCAAAGTCCCTCATGCTACATACGTCAAGACGTCACCCATGTGAGGATCATCTGTTGAATCTTTCTCTGCCCATCACGCTCCAAGTGATTCTTTTATTAAAGATGTGCAGTTTCAATTGGACCTTTGATCTTTTTTTATTATCTTGCAGGCGGTGTGAACGTAACCCCTGCCCTGTGGACAACAAAGCATGTTCCCAGACCCCAAATTCCTTTTCCTACCATTACCTGGCTGTTGTGTCCAACCTGTCGGCCCCCCGCGTCATGTTCAGAGTCTCGGCACTGCGTCCGATCGGCGACACGCTTCGCTTCGCCTTGCTGGGAGGGAGGCTAGCTCGCCGCCACTTCACGGTTCAGCGCTCAGACCGCCAGACGGGTCAGCTGATGCTGGTGAGCCCCGTGCAGGGCCCCGCCACTCTGGAGGCCGACGTGGAGATGAGCGAGCTGGAGAGAAAAGTCCAGCTGGGAAGGTACATCACCAAAATCACCATGTTTGTCTCCCAGTATGATTTCTGAAAGAGAAAGAGGAAAACAGCACAAGAAGAAGAGTACGAAAACAAACGGCACTTACAACAGAGTGTAAACACAAAATCTCCCTGAAATAAAATATTATTTTTGTAAATTCTTGTCTTTATATTCTGGTTTCGCCACCTGTGTTGTAAACTTTGATATTCTTGGCTCCTGTGTGAGAATTAAATCTGATCTAAATGGTTTGAAGTCTTGTCCTTTATTTGCTGATCTGTGATAGCTAAAAAAAATCCTGCATATTTAAAACCCACTGAAAGCTGCCCTCTGGCGTACTGTAAGGAGTGATAAATGTGAGCAGTGGTTCCTGCAGTACAAAGCAACGCTGTTCAGCAAAGAGCCGACCGAAATCAGAGTGCTGAAAAGAGCTTCTGTGCTCCTACAGTGCATGAATAAGTAACTTTTAAAATTGCAAAACAAGTACACGGAAAAAAAATATTGATACCACACACCCCAAATGTCAATTTTCTGTGATTATTTTCATTTGTGATTCAGTGTGAGACCCTAAAAAGCTCTCCTGTGGTCAGTAAGACCTGGACGTCTTTTAAGTCAACTTAGAGCAGGGGTCTGCAACTTTTACAATCACAAGAGCCTTTTCTGCTCCTTAGCTCACTAATAAAATGTGTCAGGAGCTACAAAACATAACACAGCTGTGATTGTCATCTGGTGGTCCATGGGCCACTTTCAGTTTGTTGAAGAGGGGCTTTTCCTGCCAGTAGGGGTGACATAATAAAATTTAAAATATGTAGCGTCTTTTAACGTTTGTTATAAAACACATTCCATACATGTCAGCCCCTTTGCATTTACTTGTATTGGGACAATCAAAAATCTGAAATTTCCACATTTTTTGCAAAAAAAAAAACGTTGCACAACTTGACTTGTTTGTGACATTCATGTTTAAAAGAAAAATAAATAGTTTATACCAAATTTAATAAAAACTACAACAGAATTATGCAGACATACG